TCCGCGGACGGTAAGGGGAGCGGGAGCCGGTGCAGCTGCAGAGGATCCGGAGGGGAAGCCCCCGGATCCCTCTTTGCTGAGCCGGGCAGGGAGCCACGCTCCCGAGCCACGTGCGAACAGAGCGCGTAAACAGGCGTGCTCTGTAAGGGCGTGCTGGCATTCGCACAGGCGGAAGCAGGCAGGGCAGCAAGAGAGGCTTCCCAGGAGGGAGGAGACTCCACCAAAAGGGAGGGAGGTAAGGACTACCTGCAAGCCATGGTGAGGACCCCTGGCAGTACTGCGAGTCCTGCCTCCGTGGTGCCACCCTTCCGGGGCTCCTCTGAGGCTGCCACCCAGACGGAGCCCTTGGGGGGCCTGGTGACCACCTGCCCCCTGAGCTGTGGGGGTGGCTGTGTGGGATCCCTGGGGATGGGACTGAGGTCTGGTGACTCCCCCACCTGCCCCTCTTGTGAGCGTCTTCAGGCTCTGGAGGGGCAGGTGGCAGAGCTCCAGGCCGAGGTGAGCATGCTGCGCGGGATCCAAGCAGCAGAGGATGAAATTGACCTGTATTTCCATTCTCTGCAGGGACAGGAATCCACCAGAGAGACCCCATGTGCACAGCCCAACTAATTGGTGGCAGCAGGTACCTGTCAAGTCCAGGGCACTCCGAACAACTGCTGTGCCTGCTCCCCAGACACCCCTCGGGAACAGGTGCGCAGCCCTGGCCCCCCTGGAGGAGGAGGCAGAAGAACTGGTCCCCAGAGGAACTGAAGCCACTCAACCTACATCACCAGCTCAGAAGAGGCATACCCCGAGAAGAAGGAGACGCAAAGTTCTGGTCATCGGGGACTCCATCCTGAGGGGAACTGATGGTCTGATCTGTCGCCTGGAGCCCTGGACACAGCAGGTCTGCTGCATGCCTGGAGCAAGGATTCACAGTGTCACAGAGACCATTCCTAAAATCATCAAGCCCTCTGACTACTACCCACTGGTTGTGGTCCATGTGGGTACAAATGATGCATCCAAGGGCAAGCTGGATAACATCATGGAGGACTACAAGGCCTTGGGACACCAACTGAAGAGGATGGGAGCTCAGGTGGTATTTTCCTCCATTCTCCCAGTAAGTGGACGGGGTAGGCGTCATGAGGCCTGCATTGACATGGTTAACCAGCGGCTTTGGAGCGGGTGCCACGAGGCAGGCTTTGGGTTTTTTGACAATGAACCAGGTTTTTGTAAGGAGGGCATGCTGGGGCAGGATGGGCTTCACCTCTCCCCTAACGGCAGACGTATCTTTTCCTCTAGGTTGGCTAATCTCGTATGGCGGGCTTTAAACTAGCTTCGCTGGGGGAGGGGGCCGCTTCGAGTGGAGAGGATGCTTCACCAGCACGCAGGGCGACAAGAGGAAGGAAAGCACAGGTAAGTATAAATGTCCGAGGAGCAGGAGGCCACAACCGTCCTGGGAGTGGGAGGAAGGCACGAGCACCCTCAGGAGGCCTCAGGTGCCTCTACACTAATGCTCGGAGTATGGGAAATAAATAGGAGGAACTTGCCCTCAGAATAGCCAGTTCAAACCCAGACATAGTAGGGATCACAGAAACATCGTGGGATTCATCCCACGACTGGGCAGTGAGCATTAGTGGCTATAGGCTCTACAGGCAGGATAGAGAAGGAAGGAAGGGAGGGGCTGTGGCGCTCTATGTCAAAGAGCAATTCACATCCTCCGCCAGCAAAATGGGGTCGGAGGAGGGGCAAGCTGAAGTGCTTTGGGGG